ATATATATATATATATATGAATCATAGATAAACATATAGTAAATAAGAAACATATACATACCTGTGGTATTAAAATTTTATAAAGTGTGAGAGATTAGGGAAAAAAATGTTTAAAAAGGCTCCGTGTAGGGCTATAATGAAAAAAGGTTCAGAAATACTGTCATAACTTTATAATAGTTACTGAAACCTGGTTATGTCCTGTTTCAATATTTTTATTTTAATTTTTTTCTTGTTATTCTCATTAATCTTCCCCTCAGAATTTAGCAGTAATTGTGTTTTTGTTCATTGAGCGTGCCAAGCTGATTCCTGCATGTGGGGTTTTGACCTTGGAGCCTCCTCTGTCTGACCCCTCTTCCTCCACTCTTGATGCTCACTCACTCATCCTTCAGGTCTCTGCTAACATATCACCTCCACAGAGGACCTTCCATACCATCCTTTCTATTCTTGTATGATGCTTTTCATAGTCTTTACCAGTGCACAAAATTATATATATATATATACTTTTAAAAAATAAATTTATTTATTTTATTTGTTTATTTTTGGCTGCGTTGCGTCTTCATTGCTGTGCATGGGCTTTCTCTAGTTGCAGCGAGCAGGGCTACTCTTTGTTTCAGTGCACGGGCTTCTCATTGTGCTGTCTTCTCTTGTTGCGGTGCACGGATTTCAGTAGTTGTGGCACGTGGGCTTCAGTAGTTGTGGTTCGTGGGCTCTAGAGCACAGGCTCAGTAGTTGTGGTGCATGGGCTTAGTTGCTCCACGGCATATGTTGGATCTTCCTGGGCCAGGGATCTAACCCGTGTCCCCTTCATTTGCAGGTGGATTCTTAACCACTGTGCCACCAGGGAAGCCCTATATTTTTAAAATTTATTTTTTCACTTGTTTATTTTCTGCCTTTCTCACTAGAATGAATTCCATTAGATGCAGGGACTTTGTTTTCTCACCACTTTATCCTTAGCCCCAAAGCATGCCTGGCACATGGTGAGAACTTTCTATTCACTGAATAATGTGTAAACTTATCACGTTCCAAGAAAGTCCATTGGAATCACCATTGGAAGTATATTCCACCTTCAGGTTAATTGGTGGAGAATTGATATCTTTTCACTTTTCAATCTTTCCATTCAAGGATGTGGCATCTTCTCTTTATTGTTTTATTTTATGTCCTTCTGGGGGAAAAAAATCTTCTTGTAAGTCTTGGACATTTCTAGTTACATTTATTGCTAGGTATCTGAAGTTTGTTCATGGTTTCTTCTCTTGTGAATAGAAATCTTTTAATTTTTCTATTATATTTTATTTGTGGTTTTAGTTTATTTGTGTCAGCAGGCCTGTGTTCATTGTGGGGTCTCAAAGGGAGGATCTATTTCCTTGCTCTTTCCAGTTTCTAGACCCTGACTACATTCCTTGGCTTGTGGCCCCATCCTCCATCTTTAAAGCTCATCAGTTCAACCTTCAGTTCTCTCTGGCCCTGATCTTCTTGTCTCCCTCTTTTAAAGACCCTTGTCACTGCATTGGGCCCATCTGGATAGTCCAGGATAATCTCCCTATTGTAATCACATTTGCAAAGTCTTTATGCCATGTAAGGTAACACGGTTACAGATTCCAGGGACTAGGATGTGAACATCTTTGAAGGGACCATTATTCAGCCTACCATACTTGTGCTTACAGATATGTAGAAAACGATTAGTTTTTCTATGTTCTTGTCTTTGGGTGCATTTTGCCAAACTCCTATTATTTTTCTGTCATTTTCAAACAATTGCATATTTTTCAGTTTTTGTTTTTTTTTTAATTTACTGTCAGTTGCATAATTTGTTCCCTTTCTTTCTGGTATTTATTGCTCATTTTTTTCCTTGCCTCGTTCTGCGTTGTCTAGAATCTCCTGACTAATGCTAAATAATAGCTGTGAAACCATGCATCCTTGGATTGTTCTTAACTTTATTAGAAATTGTTTTACCACTGAGTGTGGTGGTTTCTAATAAACACTCTTTTAAATCAAGGAGTTTTTATCAAATTAAATCCTAGTTTGGTAAGGTTTTTAGGCAGGAATGTACATTAGATGTATTAACCATTATGATTATAAAAGTGACCATATGGTTTTTCTCTTTCAATTTATTAATAGCTTTCCTAGTAACGATGATCTCTGTATTCCTGGAGTAAATCTCCCTTGTTTATAGTGTATTGTTCTTTGAATGTACTGCTGACTTCTATTTGTTAATATTTTATTTTTGTATTTATATTAATAAATGAATTTGGCATAGTGTGTTTAGTAATTGGTTGTGTCATCCTTGTACACGTTGGGCATTGTGGATTATCCAGTAATACTGACTGAATTAGGAAACTTTCTACCTTTTTGTATGGACTGGAACTGTTTAAATACTACTGAAGTTATATACTTTTTGAAAGTTTCATAAATGTGAATTTCCTTGGGCCACTACTACTAATCTCTAAAACCATCTTCCTTACCTCCCTTAAAGGTTGCTTTATCCTGAATCATCCATACTTTATTCCTTACTCTGTCTTACAGCATTTGAAGAATAGCTTGTGACCTGTGAAACAGGTTTTCTCTGGGCAAAGCTGCCCCATCCATAAAGAGGGGTCACATCTATCAACTAGGCTTCATTCATAGGAACCTGTTGGTCCAGGGGCTTACACAATAAAGGTTTGGCTCCCATGAGATTTTCTTTTTTTTTCACGTGCTTTGGGAGTTCTTTATCACTTATTAATCATCACAGTGTTCCTATGAAACTTCTTAGCAAGTCTGATGTATTATTTTCAGTTTAAGGACAGGGATCATCGTTGAAGGAAATAACCTTTGATACCAGAGTTTTGAATAACCAGTCTTTTTAAAAATTTATTTTTTATTGAAGTATAGTTGAATTACAGTGTTGTTTGAATAACTAGTCTTTATTTTAAAAAGCTTGGGGGATGTGCCTCTGTATTATATGGTACCAGTACTGAACTATCTTTTGGATTCATTACCATGAAATTGAGCAGAGACCACTGAATGCTTCTTTGATCATAAGAGATGAGGAAGCCCAAACTGAGAGGGACCTCTCCCCCCTTTTCATCATGAAAAGCCTGACTGCTTGATTTCCTCAAGGAGTAATTCTCATTTCTCTGCGGAAATGTTACTCTCAGCTCAGAATTTCAAACTGATGCTTGTTTGTCTAAATGAGGTTGTCCAAGGCCAGGACAATGAGTCGCTGCTTTAGCTTAGTAAATCAAGGGAATTTGCAGTGGATCGACTTAAATAATTTTTTAAGAAGGATTCTCAGACCGGGTATCTTTTGATCTTAAATCTTTCATCAGGACTGTGTTTACATAAATATAAAAATGGTGTTTCTTGGACTGCTACCACTGATTTCTAAATTAAAATACTGCTGAAGTCATCCCCTGTAAATGCTTATCCTTGGAATATTGTTCAATTAAAAGGTAGTAGTTTGGTATAAGGTATAAGTTGATTTCTCATTCTTTTCCCCTTGCAGTAAAACAGACCATCAGTAACATTTCAATATTTAATGAAACCTGCTTGAGATGGAGAAGTATGAAGACAGCTGATATAGAGGAGATGTATTTAGTAAGTTACTGAAAGTTACTCCGTTTATAGGTGTTTGTCTTGTGTGGGAGGTTCAAAAAATATCAACAAACCAAAAAAACTACTTATATAGCTGCCGTTATCAGTGGAAGATTTATAGTGACAAGTGCAGTAAGAAACAAGAAAGTGGGAACTTCTGCTGCATATTTGAAGAGAGACCTTGGGGATTGATGAGAAAATCACGAGAGGTTCTTTGTGCAACATAGCCTGATGCAGAGCTGATGTTCAGGCAGTGTCATGGAAGGAAGCCAGTGGCTTTTGCAAGTGTGTGTCTCTCCACACCAGTGCCTCTGATCAGGGTCTGAATGTGTTGCCTGGAGAGTCAAGGGGAACTTCTAAAGCTAGATGTGGTTGTGAGTAAGAAGGGTAAAGACCATAGGATGAGCTGCTACTAGAAGCAATTAAGTAGGAAGAAAAGTGCATCTATTGGCCCAGGTGCTGGGATGTTACAGTAAAGTGTAGGAAATGTCAGAAGGGGGCGGGCAGAGGAGAAAAACTCTTCCCAGGTTTTACCAAACCGACTAGGATTACCCTAATGTAGGGAATGTCAGAAGGGGGCGGGCAGAGGAGAAAAACTCTTCCCAGGTTTTACCAAACCGACTAGGATTACCCTAATGAAGCGGTCCCTAATCTTTTCGGCACCAGGGACCGGTTTCGTGGAAGACAATTTTTCTACCGCCAGGGGGTGGGGTGATGGGTCAGGCGGTAATGCGAGCGATGGGCAGCGGCAGACAAAGCTTCGCTTGGTCCACCGCTCCCCTCATGCTGTGTGGCCTGGTTCCTAACAGGCCGTGGACTGGTACCGGTCTACGGTCCGGGGGTTGGGGACCCCTATCCTAATGCACGTTCTGCCCTGGGAGAAGCCTTAGTTCAGATTCTTAATTTTCTTTCTAGGAAATTGTTCTTTGGTTTTGCTCCTGTGGTTTTAACAACAGACTTTCACATTGGGCATGTGCCGTTATATGTGTGAGAACAAGAAATAGAAAGTTGTCGGTGTTGGGGCCTCAAGTTTTTGTGCATTTTGATTTAAAAATATGTTTATGATACTGATAATATTGTAATTACAATATTTATGGTATTACAAGTCTAATATTTGCTTTCTGCCGTATTTCACTTTCTGAAGGAACTTTAGAATTAAGAGTAAAAGGGTGTGAGAGAAAGGGTAGGTATCCAGGCATTCAGAGCCTTTCAAGCTAGCAATTCACCTGGTGAACTTTTCTATGTTTTAGTTCCACATTTGGGGCCAGAGATGGTATCAGAAGGAATTTGCCCAGGAAATGGTCTTTAATATCACTGCCAGCAGCCAGGCTCCTGAGACGTGTTTGGACCTGAGGCCAGGTACCAACTACAGTGTCAGCATCCAGGCTTTGTCTTCTGAACTTCCTGCGGTCATCTCCCTGACAACGCAGATAACAGGTAAATCTTGAATAACAGCATTTGGATGAACAAAGTCACCGCAGAGCTGTATAGGCTCAAATAAAGAGGCACACTATTACTTTCTATCTTTATATAATGAAGTTTAAGAGAAAGAGGAAGAAAGACGTGAAATCGGAGAGGGGAACTAAGGGGACTGCAGCCTGAACTGCAATGTTTTGTTTCTTAAAAAGGTACCTGAAACAAAATAGGAACATTGAAGAAATCTGGGTAGTGTGTACATGAGTGTTGGTTAAATTCCTTCTGGTTATTTGAAATATTTAAAATATTTCATACTTAAAAAGAAATTTTCCTATTACTCTTTCTTTCTCAATAACATATTTAATTGTCGTTCTGTTACGAGGACCTTAAGAGTAGGTTACTCTCAGGGAAGAATGACTGGCAGTCCCACTCTAGTCCCCTAGAAAATTCACTTTCCACTCATTTTCTCGTGTCTCCTCAAATCTGTGATGCTCACTCCATCCCCCAACACACACACTCTGAGCTAATATTCAGACTATTAGCTTCTTTTTTCTTATTTCACTGAGGAATTAGAAGTAATCAGGTGAGGGGGTGGTGGTGGGATGAATTGGGGGACTGAGATTGACATATATACACTAATATGTATAAAATAGATAACTAATAACAACCTGCTGTATATAAATAAATAAATAAATAAATAAAATAAAAAAAAAAAAGTAATCAAGTGAGGACTTTCCACTCCCAAATCTCCCATTGTTGCCTTCATGCAGAACCTATATTTTATCTTCTCTCTTGTCCCCACTCCTAAGGTGAATCCTCCCTCAACCCCATCATCCCTTCTTGCCTCATCCTCAATTCCCTCCAGTAAAGAATTAGTACCAACCCTGCATAAGCATGTTGTAATATCTCATTTTTAAATGAAAACATAGAAAAGATAAACACATTTCTTTTGATCCCATATTCCCTCCAGCTACTCTGCCTTCTCTCAGCCCCTCTTTACAGTAAAACTCCTTGAAAGAATGTTGTGTAGGCTCCACATCCTTACCTCCTCTTCTTTCTTTAACTGATTCCGGTCCAGAGGCATTTGTCCTCAATGCTTTACTGGAAGTGTCTCCATCTTGCAAAACCCACTGCCCAGTTTTGTTCTTATATGATTTTCTCTACAGCATTTGGCATTCCATCCTTGAAACACCTTTTCTCTTGGCTTTTGGATCCTTCTACCTTGCTGACTGCTCCTTCTCAGTTTTTTTCACTAGGTCCATCTATTGGGTTGGCCAAAAATATCGTCCGGGTTTTGCCATAAGAGCTTCCAAAGAACCCAGATGAACTTTTTGGCCAACCGAATACTTTTATTGATGCCCCTCCCCTCGCCTTCTTCTATTCCTTTTTCTTCATTATTTACTCTCTCTGCCTAGGCGATCTCTACCAGTCTCATGGCTATAAACATTACCTATGTGCTGAGCATTCCCAAATATGTATCCACCTGTCTCCTAAACATATCCTATTGAACATCTAACAGGCAAACCCAGTAGAACTTTTGATTTCTCACCTCTTCCCTCACCCCCAAATCCATTTTCACCCAGGCGTCTCTATCTCAGTTATTGGCATTCCTATTCACCACCTGCTCAGGCCAAAAAGGAATCAAAATTGATTCTCTCTCTCCCACCATTTCTAGTCCATCAACAAGCTGGCTTGTTTCTGAAATAAACATTCTGAATCCAGCCACTTCTCCCCACCTTTGCCCTTACCACTAGCAACCTAATCCGAGCCAGCAGCTTCTTGCTTGGACTCCTGCAATAGCATTCTCTCTTCTCCCTGTTTTCACAGTGTCCTATCACCTGCTGCCCTAAGTCTTAATCGTCACCATAACTTTAAAAACATCACTCAAAGTGTCATATTGAATGAAGTAAGTCAGGCGGAGAAAGACAAATATCATGATATTGCTTATATAAGGAATCTAAAAAAATGGTACAAATGCACTTATTAACAAAATAGAGTCACAGATGTGAAAAACAAACTCATGGTTACCAGGGGGAAAGGAAGGGAGGGATAAATTGGGAGATTGGGATTGACATATACACCCTACTATATATAAAACAGATAACTAATAAGGACCTACTATATAGCACAGGGAACTCTACTCAATACTCTAATGACCTATATGGGAAAAGAATCTAAAAAAGAGTGGATGTATATATATGTATAACTGATTTACTTTGCTGTACAACTGAAACTAACACAACATTGTAAATCAACTATACTCCAATAAAAATTAATTTAAAAATGCATATAAGAACATGTCATCCCCAGCTCAAAACGGTCCTATGAGTTTGCCTTAGTGTTCTAACGGAATCCACATTCCTTACCATGGAACATGGAGTCTGGCCCCTGCCTACCTCATTGACCTCATCTCCCTCTGCCCTCTCCCTTTCTCACTAAGCAGCAGCATCCTTCCTTGCTATTTCTCAAACGGGTCAAACTTGTTCTTGCATCCAGGTCTTTCCATTTGCTGCTTAATCTTCATGGGACACTCTCTCCACATGGCTTCTTTATAATCACTCAGGTTTCTGCTCAAGTGCCATTACCTAGAGAGCCTCTCCCTGCCCATCCTTTCAAAAATCATCTCCCATTGCCACCCCATCACTCTATCCATTTCCTCTGCTTGAATTTCTTCATAGAACTCGTTTTCAGGACTTGTATTTTAAATTTTACTTGTTTATTTTCTTTTCCCCTACTAAAATAGGAACTCTTTGAAGACAGAGATTTTTGTCTGTGTGTTCTACATTGAATCCCCAACACATAAGGACAGTGTGAGCACACATAAGGACAATGATAGCACAACAAAAGAATATTTTTGTAATGAATGCATACGAGGGCTAACCCCCAAATGGCCAGCAGGTGGTATTGGCATTGAAGAAATGCCTGGTTAGTTAATAAAGGCTTTAGACCAAAAAGAATTCACTTTGGGGCTGGAAAGAGATGTTCAATTTGGGCATTTTTTCCCATGGTGACTTATCAAAATGGATAGCTATTCAGTCTCCTACTCTTTGGTCCTTCTCATGTTTTGAAGGTTTGCATTGCTGATTCACATTAGCATTTCATATTTTTTGAGTTGGGGAGAGGGAGTTTCATCTTGATGAGACACACTTCTACCTTGCTTTGTACCCTAAATATTGCCCCGTAGCTCAAGCACCCTGTGTCTGTGTTCATGGCCACCAGGGGACACTGTTGAGCTGTTTAAGTTCATTGAAACCATGACTGCATATTTTTCACTCTACTTTAAAGAATTAGCAATTTTTTTTAAGTGTGAAAATTCAAGTTGTTAAGATCTTATGAAAGAGTAACTAAACAAATAAGAACAAACCCCAAGCCCTGTCTTTAATAAGAGAACCATATACTGATGTGAAGAGGTATGCCTGTTTGCCTAAGATGTGGCTTTGTTTCAGCAAAATTGTGAACTTTTGAATTTTACCAGAAATGTGAGGCAAGGGGTTTGGACGTGGAATACGCAGAAGCTGATTTCCCAGAAGAAAAGTGAATGGAATTTCCCTTCTGAGTGTCTTACATTAAGTTAAATCTTACCGTTGGGAACAGGATGAAAACGAGTGCTTTAAATATATTGCTGACCTCAGAGGAGAGTGAAAGCTTTTGGAATGTTGAAGGACAGAGGCAAGTGTTGTAGTGGCAATGGAAGAGGGTTGCTGGTGAGAAAGGTGGTGAGATGGAGAGGCTATCACAGTGCTTCTGACTCATGGCCCACGTGCCTCTGCAGGCAGCCCATTGACGGGAATTCATCAGAATAGTGCCACCATTTATACTCCCTTATGTAAGAACAAACTTTCATCCTTGATGTAGACCCAAAGGGTCAGAAGAGCTGCCCCACACTGGTTATGCTATTTTCTAGCCAAGTCAAAAAGCTTGTAGGCAAAATTTCCTTCTCATAGAGAGAGGGAGAGAACCAGAGAGGGGGAAGTGGGGGGAGGGAGAGAAAGAGAGAGAGAGAAAGCAAGTGCCTGCAGGAATGTAAAGATAAACCACTTATTCCACACAATGTGGTGATCATTTGAAGTTGAATGTTTATTATGGAATCAAGAATGCTGGAAGAGAAAAGGGAAACGAATATGTAAAGGAAATCATTCCTTCCCAAGTCCACCTTCAATTCCAAGGTTGGCAATGTACACGGGAACTTTCCCATCTCTACCTGCATTCGTAATAAGAAAAACAATGTACTTTTTCAGATGTTCAGGAAAGCCACTGAAAACACAGGTATGTCTCAAGCGTTCTCAGGCTATCCCTCTAACAGAGAGGTCCAGTCAGGATAGCTCTAATTCCCCCTACAGGGCTGGGGACCACTGCCCCCTCCTCTGACCCCTCCTCTCTTACTGTTAAGTGTCCTTAGGAAGGACCGTGAAGGACCAGGTGTCTTGACATTCTTCTGCTGTGAGCTTCTCTTCCACAAACCATCCAAGGACTGTGCACTCCTGTGTCCTCAGTGAGGACCTTGTCTTCTCAGGCTGGTTCCAGGGTACCACACTTATTCCTGCT